CTATGCAAGAGCCATTGCGGGGTATCCTCTCTATAGTTTATACCAGGATCCTAGCTACCATAGAGTGAGAAGGGGGGCGCTGCCTTCCACATATACTGGACATTGTAGGGAGTCACTTTATAATAGGAAGGGTTTTTGGAGAGTGGGCAGCAAAAAAACCCAGAAAACAAAGAAAAAGCACCCAGAACTATGTCCTGGAGATGGAACAACAAACAGGGTAGATGTGGTCCTTGCTCTCAAGAATCTTACATTTTAGTGGAGTGATAGTGTTGACTGTTCATTTTTTGTATAAAGGAAGGGGAAGAAAAACAACAAAGAATTATTCAGATCCTGTCTCAAAGTAATGGGCTAAGTTTCTCCCTATTTTTTTTCTTGTTCTTGTTTGGGTTTGGTTGCATGTTGGTCAGGGGAAGTTAGAAATTACCGATTAAGGAGGAGTTGTGTCTAGTCCACCACCCTCAATCTCGGGGTTAAGGTCGTGGTGGAAACAAGCTCTGAATCTGGAGGCGGAGCTTTGCATTTCAGTCCCAGTCCTATTATTGTCTAGCTGTGTCACTTTGCGCTGCCTCCTCCTATAGATGCTCTCCAAGGTTCTTTCCAGGCTTCCAGGCTGATTTGATATGGATCTGCTTTTATCAAAATGGGGTCTTTATGATGATTGGGTTAATTTCCTGAGGGCTTTTAAAAAGATGTTCTAAATCTGAATCCAGGTAGTTATGGGGCTTATAGCCTTAAAAAGCTATTTCTGATAAGATGCATTTGTAATAATTGACTTCATATTCCAAAAAGCTTTCAGGATTCTCTTTTTCAAAAATGAGTTTTCTTTTATTTATAATTCCAAGTAATCTGATTCAGTGAATGAGTTTGTGGCTTTCTTTTTCAAATTATGTTCTGAGTTTTTGGTTCCTACCTGTAACTAATTTTCAGACCAAGAAAGAGAAGGAACAGAGGACAGAGAGTGGAGAACAGAAACTGTCATGATTTAAAGTGATTGGTGAGACCAGAATTGTTCAGAGTGATGTCATTTTTTGATATTTACTAAAAACTTTGAGATATTTATTTTGAAGATTTTAAGCTTTATGTAAAAAAAATTACTTGATGGGGTGACATCCTTATTTAAACGCTGTTTCTTTAAAGTGGAACCATAGTGATATTTACTGTATCATCAAAGTGTCCTGGCTGGGAAGATGTGGGGCAGTTTCAAGGGTCATGTTTAACATTAGGTTTGTTACACAATATGAGCAAACAGCAGCAACTCTGGATATTTTGTATTCTTGGTATTCTGAAAAAATTGGGTGTCAATCCAATGAACATATATTAAACCAGGTCACTTGCCTTGTAAATGAGCCCTCTGTAGGACCCATTTTAAAAGTGAATAATACCTTGGAAAACCAAACAATCATTTAAAAATATATACACTTAAAGTGTTGATTTCTGCATGTTGGGGTTGCTTGCAGTGGTGGGTGGTTGGGGTGGGGTGGGGGGAGTGAATCTGGCAGTGGGAGGAGTTCCATCTATAGGAGTTTGTTGATCCATAATGGGGTAAGATTTTTTCCTTGGCTTATTCGCCCCTTCTCTATGCCACTTCATATCCTACTCATCCTTTAATACTGTGTTGTAAGCTTTCTGGGTGAGATCCATAGTAGGAAATGGATTTTATGTTGCAACTCTAGTACCTATATATACACATTTCAGGAAGGAGAGACATCTTTTCAAATGCTCTAGTAGCCAAGCTTGTTTTTGAAATTATTAAAGTACAGAGTCTTGTCTGATGGTTCTGGATGTTATTTTCTTCTCTGTATAGCATTTGTTTTTCTTACTGCTCATTTAGTACATATCTAAAGCTTGGTATTATTTGTGTATATGGTTCATTGACTGTTTTAGACAGTAAGCGCTTGAGGATGCCCTTCTGGAGGGAAGTCTCTAGTGGCATGCTGTAGGGCTCTTGATCCTATCTTGTTCAATATTTTTATTAAAGTCTTTACTGAAGGTTAGAAGGACTGCTCACCAAATTTGTAGGTGACACAGAGCTAGTAGCCGCAGCTAATATATTGAAAGGTGAAATCAAGATTCAAAATAAAATATAAATGTTGGGGTAAAAACCCCATTATGATATAATTTATATATTTATATAAATTATGATATAATTTAACAAAGACCTATATAAAAGCCATTTGTTGGGACTGAAAAATATAAATCAAGGGAGATTCCTGGATTTTAACACAATGCATGTGAAAAGATCAACGTATTAATCTACTATAAATGCAAAACGATCCAAAAGTATTATGCTCCATAAGAAAGTTAATGCAGTTTTAGGCTACATCAACAAAAATATGGTACATAGCTTACAAGGAAGGTAACAGGTTCCCTGTGTTCTGGGCTGGAGATTTGACTAGCTTTAGCTATCGCATTTTGTGTCGACATTGATAAGTTAGAGATTAGTATGGGCTGTCAGGATGTGAGGGAAGAGGAAACCACGCTTTATGTGGAAGAGTTAGAGCAAATGTTTAGCCTAGAGAAGAGGCAAATGATGTGGTATGTGATTGCCACTTCAAATATTTGCCTAGCTGTCACGTGGCAGAAAGGATAGAGTAGTTTTTCCTGGTCCCAGGGCAAAGTTAGGACAAAAGGGTAAAAGTGACAGAAGAGCTGACTTTGATTCTGATAAAGTTGTCCAAGAGAACAGTGAGTTGCCACATAAAGGAGTGAATTCTTCACCCATAGGCATATTCTGCAAAGGTTGAGTGACTCTCTGGCTAGGATGCTATTAGTAGGGATCAGCTGAATTAGACAGCAGGCTGAAATAGATGATCTCGCTGGATGAATTCCAGAATTTGCTAAATTGAATATTTAAAAAAGTAACGTTGTGAAAGTGATTTTATATAGATGATTTTATGGGATAGATTAATATTAATATTTAAGCTTTAAGAACTTTAAATGTACATGGTAAAGCATTTTCTATCTCAAAGCACTATAAAACTATTCCTTTATTTATGAAAAATACAACTTTATTCTTTCTTGTCTGCGTTTCTAAAATCCAAAAAAGCTCTGCAAACCAAGTTTTTTGGATCTCATATGTTGAAATAACCTCAAGTGAACTGTTTCAGTCTTTATTCCACTTAGAATGAGCATTCATACACACTTCTGCAGAAATATTAATGTGTTTGAATATAAGGTTCTGTCCCAGACCTTGTTGGGAGGTATGTAATATATGATTTTTGCTGCTAACACCTTTCAAATATCTGAAAAGTTCTCAATTCTAAGATTTTTATATTTTTCCTTCTTCTTCCCAAAGCTCCCCTCAAGTCTAAACCATCTGTCTCCAAAGGATTTGGTTAAGGAATTGTTATTATTAGTTATCCTATAATTAGATAGTTCTTGTTTTCTCAGGGTAACTTGATTCCATTGGCCAGTAATTTAGACAATAAGCTACATTACTTCCTCATGCTCGAACAATTCCCAAGAACTATTTTAGAGTCCCTGAAACTTGTCACAGAAGGAATTTGCTCCATGAGCCAAATTTACACTGTATAATGAAGTGGTAAGTTGCCCTGCCATTTCCGTATTTATTTTATGAAGAGGTCAGTGGCAAAAATGATCAATGTCAAGAGTCTCCACTCAAAGCATATCTGATGTTACTTAAGGCTGGCTCTGGGTGACAATATCACACTTTTCTGGCCTAGGTGGAGGATTTAGTAAGATCAGTTAATTAATGGCTTTCATTTTACAAATCTTTTCTATAACTATTACTCATTCTTTAGTAGACGCTTATGGAACACCTTCTCCAGGCTTCCTCTAAGTTAGGCAACAGTGTTACAAAGATGAGTAAGGTGAAGATAGTAGTCTTAATATGCTCACACACTCGTTTGATCCTGAAAACAACCTGTAAGATATGCAGGGCAGATATTGTCATTCCCATTTTAAAGAGGGAAAAATGGAATCTCAGAGAAGTTAAGTGACTTGTTTAGGGCCACACATCCAGTAAGTGGTAGAACAGTACTTGAATGCCAGGCTTTACTTCAGTCTAGTTATCGTTCCATCATGTTAACATATATTGAAAACCTGTTGTTTGCCATAGAACATGTATCTTCTCCTCAGCCAACCCTTATCATAGACTTTTACTTTAACTTGGCTGCTCAGGATTTGTAGCCACTTTTTGTGTTTGGAGAATGCACTGTGAAATGAGCTTTTATGGGAGATGGGTCTCCACTTCTTACTATGAAAGCCAAAAGGCCCAAACTCTCCCTTTGCGCATCCCCTGGCAGTTGGGACTCAGGAACGTCAACTAAGCTCAGCCAATAAGATATGTGTCCCTGGAGGTGAGACACCAAAGAACAAAAGAGTGGGGTCAGCCTAGAACTCGTGCTGTGAAGATGGTGCGTTGGGTGTCCAGCAGTGGCAGATCCTCAGCCGGGCTGGATCTTTGGCTGTGATTCCTTATGCCTAATCTTCACTGATTTTAGACTATTTTCTGCACTTGGCTTTCATCCCTTTTAGTCTATTCTGTGAGCCATCTAATTTGCTTTCAATAAATTTGTCTGCAAAGTCAGCTTAAGTCAGTTTCTGTTGCTTTCAACCAAGAACTTTGACTAGAAGAGATCCATTTTATAGATGAAGTAGTGAGTATTGATCAGATTTTGGACATATTTTGAAGAGAAAGCTGGCAGAATTTTTGAAGGATTGGATAAGGAGTGTGAGAAAAAGAAGTCAAGGATGACTTCAGAATTTTTGGTCTGAATAACTGAAAGTAAAGCTGCTATCCGTTCCAGTTCTGTGTTACTACAAACCACTCTCAAAATAGTGGACTAAGACAACAACCATTTTTATTATCTCCATTGGCTTTGGCTTTTCACAGCATAATGGCTGGGTTTTGAGAAGGTGTGCTCCCTGAGGGCAAACATTCCAAGAGAACCTCTAAGAAGCTGCATAGCCTTTTATGACCCTCAGAACTCACACAGTGTCACTTCCACCGTATTCTATGGATAGAATTATTCACAGGCTCATCCAGACTCAAAGAGGAGGGGACATTGGAGCCATGTTTTAAAATTGTCATGCTATTTATCAGGGAACTCGAAGAAAAGTGGGGAAGATGGGGAGAGGAACAAGTTGAGAGGGGGAGGTTATGTGTTTGGACATCTTAAGTATAGATGTCTGTTAGGCGTTCAAGAGGATATATTGGGTAGGTAACTGGATATGAGTCAGGAATTTAGCTGAGAAGTTGAGGCTAAAGATATAAATTTAAGAGTTGTATGTGTATAAGTGGTATGAAAGCCAGGGACTCGACATAGATCATCTAGAGATGCAGCTTTATAATATATTTTGAAATCAAGGAGTGTGATACTTCCAGCTTTGTTCTTGCTCAAAACTGCTTTTACCATTTGGGATCTTTTGTGGTTCTGAATGAATTTTAGGATTGTTCTTTCTATTTTGGTAAAGAATGCCATTGAGATTTTGATAGAAACTGAGTTGAATCTATAGGTCACTTTGGGAAGTATGGACATTTTAATAATATTAATTATTCAAATGCATGAACATAAGATGTCCTTCCATCTATTAGTGTCTTTTAAAATTTCTTTTGTCATTGTTTTGTAGTTTTTAGTGTACAAGTCTTTCATGTCTTTTATTAAGCTTATTCCCAAGTATTTTATTCTTTTTGATGCTATTATAAATGGAATTGTTTTCTTAGTTTCCTTTTCAGATAGGTCATTGTTAGTGTATAGAAACACAACTCATTTTTGTATGTTGATTTTTCATCTTGTGGCTTTATTGAATTTGCTTATTCTAACAGTTTTTGTAGAGTCTTTAGGGTTTTCTACATATAAGATCATGTCATCTGCAAAGAGAGATAGTTTTACTTCATCCTTTCTGATTTGGAGGGCTTTTTGTTTTCTTTTTCTTGCCTAATTGCTCTGGCTAGGACTTCTAGTACTATATTGAATAGGAGAGGTGAGAGTAGGAATCCTTGCCTTGTTCTGGATCTTAGAGGGGAAGCTTTCAGCTTTTCATTGTTGGGTATGATGTTGCCTGTGAGCTTTTCATAAATGGCTTTTGTTGTATTGAGCTAAGTTCCTTCTATACCTATTTTGTTGAGAATTTTTGTTATAAAAGGGTGTTGAATTTTGTCAAATGCTTTTACTGCATCTATTGTGATGATCATGTGATTTTTATCCTTCATTCTGTTAATGTGGTGTATCACATTGATTGATTTGCATGTGTCAAACTATCCTTGTATCCCAGGGATAAATCCTGCTTGATCATGGTGTATGTTTCTTTTAATATGCTATTATATTTGGTTTGCTACTATTTTCTTGAGGATTTTTGTATCTATGTTCATCAGAAATATTGGCCTGTAGTTTTCTTTTCTTGTGGTATCCTTGTCTGGCTTTGATATCAGTTTGAGGCTAGCCTAATTGAATGAGTTTGGAAGTGTTACCTCTTTTAATTTTTGGAAGAGTTTAAGAAGGATTGGTATTAATTCTTCTTTAAATTTTTGGTAGAACATGAAGCCATCGGGTCCTGGGCTTTTCTATGTTGGAAATTTTTTGATTACTTCTTAAATTTCCTTATTTGTTATTGGTTTGTTCAGACTTTCTATTTCTTCTTGATTCATTCTTGGCAGTTTGCATGTGTCTTGGGGTCTCTCCATTTCGTCTAGATTGTCCAATTTGTTGGCATGTACTTGTTTATAATAGGCCCTTATGATCCTTTTTATTTCTGTGGGATCAGTTGTAATGTCTCCTCTTTCATTTCTGATTTCATTTATTTGTGTCTTCTTTATTTTTCTTAGCCTAGCTAGGGGTTTGTTGATTTTCTTTTTCTTTTCAAAAAACTCTTAGTTTTATTGATTTTTAAAAATGTTTTTCTATTCTCCATTTTGTTTATTTCTGCTCCAATATTTATTATTTCCTTCTTTCTGCTAATTTTGTGCTTAGTTTGTTCTTTTTCTAGTTCCTTGAGGTGGAAAGTTAGGTGATTTATTTGAGACATTTCTTCTTTTTCAATGTAGGTATTTATTGCTATAAACTTGCCTTGTAGTATTGCTTTTGTTGCATCACATAAGTTTTAGTATGTTATGTTTTCATTTTTGTCTTGAAATATTTTCTAATTTCCTTTTTCATTTCTTCTTAGATCCGTTGTTTAAGAGTGAGTTGTTTAATTTACATATGTTTGTAGATTTTCCCATTTTCTTTCTATTATTGATATGTAGTTTCATTCCATTATATTGGAAAAGATACTTGGAATTATCTCACTCTTATTAAATTTGTTAAGACTTGTTTTGTGACCTAGCATGTGATCTATCCTGGAGAATGTTCTATGTGCATTTGAGTAAAATGAGTATTCTGCTGCTGTGGGATGAAGTGTTCTTAAGATGTGTGTAAGGCTCATTTCATCTATGTGTTGTTTGATTCTGCTGTTTACTCATTGATTTTCTGTCTGGATTATCTGTCCATTATAGAGACTGGAGTATTGAAGTCTCCTACTATTATTGTATTTCTGTATATTTATCCCTTCAGATCTGTCAATGTTTGCTTCATATGTTTATGTGGTTTGATGTATATATATTTATAATTGTTACATCTACCTGTTGAATGGACCCTTTTATCATTATATAATGACCTTTGTTTCTTACGACAGTTTTTGATTTAAAGTCTATTTTGTATGATATAAATCTAGCAACCCCTGCTCACTTTTGGTTACAAGGTGCATGGAATATCTTTCCCCACTCCTTTACTTTCAGCCTATGTATGTTCTTAAATCTAAAGTGAGTCTCTTGTAGACAGCATATAGTTGAGTCTTTTTTTTTAATCCATTTAGCCACTCTATGCCTCTTGATTGGGGAGTTTAGTCCATTTACATTTACAGTAATTATTGATAGATAAGGACTCGTTAGCGTTTTTGTAGTTCTCCTGTTCCTCTCTTTTTCTCTTGTTGTCTTTGTTTGTGTTTTGATGATTTTTTTAATGATGTGCTTTGATTCTCTTTTCTTTATGTTTTGTGTATCTAATGTACTTTTCTTTTTCATGGTTGCCAGGGGCTCACATTGAAAATTTTATAGTTAGAGCAGTCTGTTTTAAGCTGATAACAACTTAACTTCAATCACATATAGAAACTCTATACTTTACTTCCCCTCTCCCACACTTTATTTAATGATGTCAGATTTTCCTTCTTTCTATATTGTGTTGAGTTGACATATTTCTGTGGTTATAGTTATTCTTACTATGTTTGTCTTTTAACTTATATAACCAGTGTTAAAAGTGATTTACACACCACCATTACAGTATTAGATATTCTGTTTTTCTTTGTATTTATATTTAGCAGTGAGATTTTTGCTTTTATATGCTCTGATGTTGCTGTTTAACATCTTTTCAATTCAACTTGAAGGACTCTCTTTAGCACTTCTTATAAAGTACATCCAATGGTGACAAACCTCCTCAGTTTTTGTTTGTCTCTTTCCTTCTTAAAGGAAAGTTTTTCTGGGTACAATACTCTTGGTTGGCAGGCTTTTTTTTTTAGTATTTTGAACATATCATTCCACTTTCCTGGCCTCCAAACTTTCTGTTGAGAAATCTGTCTAAAGGGGGAAGGGGGGGGTGTCCCTTTTATGTGACAAGTTGCTTTTTCTTTTTTCTTGCTGCTCTAAAATTGTCTTTTTCTTTGACTTTTGACAATTTATGATGTGCCTCAGTGTTGCTCTCTTTGGGTTCAAACTATTTGGAAACTCTTGGGCTTCATTAATCTGAATTTCCTTTTCCTTCTCTAGATTTGGGAAGCTTTCAGCCATAACTTCTTTAAGTAAGCTTTTTGCCCTTTTCTCTATCTCTTCTCCTTCTAGGAATCCGATAATGCATATATTGATTCTTTTGATGGTATACCGTAAGTCCCATCAGCTTTATTCACTCTTCTCCATTCTTTTTCTTTTTGTTCCTCTTACTAGATAATTTCAAATGACCAGTCTTTGAGTTCACTGATCTTTATTCTGCTTGATTGAGCCTGCTGTTGAAGCTGTCTATTGAATTTTTTAATTCAGTCATTGTATTCTTCAGCTCCAGGATTTCTGTTTGGTTTTCTCTCTCTCTCTTTTTTTTGTGAGGAAGATCAGCTCTGAGCTAACATCTGTTGCCAATTGTCTTCTTTTTGCTTGATGAAGATCTTTCCTAAGCTAACATTTGTGCCAATCTTCCTCTCTTTTTTTTTTGTGGGATGCTGCCACACATGGCTTGATGAATGGTGTGTAGGTCTTCACCTGGGATCTGAATCTGTGAACCCTGGACTGCTGAATAAGAGTGTGTGAACTTAACCACTATGCCACTGGGCCGGCTCTGTTTGGTTCTTTTTTATGGTTTCTATTTCTTTATTGAACTTCTCATTTTGTTCATATATTGTTTTCCTGATTTCATTTAGTTGTCTATCTGTGTCCTCTTGTAGCTCACTGAACTTCTTTAAGATGATTATTTTGAATTTGTTAAGCAGTTCATAGATCTCTGCTTTTTTTTTTAGGGTCAATTCCTAGAGCTTTATTAATTTCCTTTGATGGCTTCATGTTTGCCTGATTCTTCATGATCCTTGTAGCCTTGCATTGGTGTCTGTGCATTTAAAGGAGCACTTACCTCTTCCCATCATTACAGATTGGTTTTGGCAGGTAAAGGCCTTCTCTTTCCAGATCCCTGGATGGATGAATGGATGGGACTGCCTCCAGGACCCCAGTCTAGTGGTGTTGCAGCCAAGCCATGGGGCTGCTTCTGGCTTTGCAGTTGGGTCTGTGGTTGGTGGGCCAATTACCAGGGGTGTGGGATGGTAGGGCTGATGACAGGACCTCACACAAGCAGGGCCAGAGTGGAGTCCGTAGGGGAACAGGGCTACTTCCAGGTCTACAGCCAGGCCTGTGGTTGGTGGACCTGCTACTGAGGCATAGTTTTACCTTCTCAAAGTGGCTTCACTAGTCTTTAGCTCCACTGAGGTGTCAACCTCCTACCTGGATCCTGAAGCTCCCACAAAGGCACTTTTGTCTATGGTTGGTTGCCAAATATGTGTTTCTGTGGGAAGATAAGAGATGGGACTGTCCTATTCTGCCATCTTGCTGACCTCCATTTTTTAAAAAAATCCTAGTCTCCTTAATCCCCAGAAACCTCTAATCTGTTCTCTATTTCTATGATTTTGTCATCTCAAGAATGTTATGTA